AGAAAGTTGGCGAAGTATGTACCCTCTCCCTTCTTCACAATCTTTTTGTCTCTTCTCCTTCTTTCTACTTGAGTCTTCAAAGTTTAGTTTTATCAATAGAAAGAGCTCTGGAAATGCCAAAGGATGGTCTGGAAATTCCTTATGTTCCTCATTTTAAAAGTTATCTCTGTAGGAAAGCATGCTGTATTTGGGTTTGGAGTTTGATAAAATGCATGTAGGGAGCCAATGTCTATTATAACACAAGCAAAATAATGTTCAAAAGTCCTTCTTGCCTCCTGCTCTAAATATTCTCTTCTGTAGGGAAGATGAAAATGGTGTCAGTTTTAGGGAGGCAGATATCCTAATGAACTTAGAAATGTAAGAAATTTTAATCCCTGCTTTTTGAGTGTGATAAAATTGATCACCAAATGAGATCATCCTGGGAAGTCAGTTCTATCGAAATTTTTATTAGATCTTTATACCTGTTTGGAAATTGTTATGGAGCATCATAAAGATTCAAATCATAAAGTCAGTTTAATTTTTTAATTTTTTTAACTGAACCAGCCTGAACATCTGAGGATATTCAGCAATGCAACTGTGTCTTACCACTAAGATTCCTTTAGAAAGCAGTGACATTATTACCTAAACTTTATGGACATCTTTCTCTTATTAGTTCATTTGAGATAAATTAAAAACTAACATGGAATTGTTTGCTTCTGAGAGAAAACACTTAACAGTTGAAGAATGAGTACATAAATGATAAGTTCTACCAGTCTGTCACCCTCCCAAAGCATCAGCTCTAGCTCAATGCTGCAAATGGCCTGACTGTTCCCAGCAGCAGCAGCTGTGGTGTGGAATGGCAATGAATCAAACACAAACCCAGAATCTGCCCTTGAGCTGAAGTTTCTGTTTTCTTCCCCTTTTTTACCAGAGTCATCCAGCTTTCAGTTAAGTGAAGGTTGGTTGATGTAAGCCTTGCTTTTCCTCTGACAAGAGGTGAGAATAAACAATACATTGGGTGCAGGGCCAAAAGCAGAGTTGAAGAGACCTGAGTCATTACCAGACTCATCACCCACCTCAGAATAAATAAGAGCTGACTAAAGTGGTAATGTGCCAGCAGTACCTTAGGACCTGGAGAGGCCCCAATGAGAGAAATAAAGAAGAAAAAAAGATTGTATGGGGGAGAATGTATTGCTGGGGCTGGAGCTTTGGCTCCCAGTCTTTAGTTCAACCACCCCATCTATGTGTTTTCCTGATATTTTCATGATTTTTACCCCATTTCCTGAAAAATGACCCCTATTATCTGCTTGCTTGCTAAGGATGAATATTAGCAGGATTTTAAGTGACTAGGTCTTTGGGTCTTCTGAATCTAGGGAGGTGGATACAACCATGAAAATGAAAATGATTTATTCGGGGTTCCCAAAATCACCCTTGAACCATCTTGATGCTGTTGAATGATTTATGAACCTCAAGCCTTACCAAGTCCAGACTCTGGATCTCTGAGCTTCCCACCCATCTTCTCAATCTTGGTTTCCCACCTCCACATAGATATTCAGTATTCTCAGCCTCACCAAATCAACAAAACAGAAGCTTTAAGTCATGAATAGTCATTACTCTGCTTAACTGCATGAGTATTTCTTAGAAATGGCATAAACCTAGACAAGAAAAAATAGTAGATTGAGGGTTAAATAGTTCTTAAAATTCTTTTCAGGAAAAGCAAGGTATCCGAAATAGATGGTGATTATTCTGGAATTCTCTTTCATTATACTAAATATCAGACTTTGCCTTCTTTCTACCAGGCACTTCTCTACAAAGGCCCTCTCCCAAGTGTTGTGGCAAATAAAGCAATAAATAAGACTAGCGCTTTATGTCTCATAATGTTTATGGACTTATAAAGGCAATAGACATATGACTACATAGAACTGAGAAGCAGTTATGCTTATAACCACCTTCAAATATATGCATCAAGATCCTCTTCCATTAGGTGATTCTCTTCTACCACCAGACCTTAACAGATGCCTTTCACCTTAACTAGTTCTTCCTGTTTCCCACCAGGCAACCAAGCTTCAGTCTTTTATAACTTCACCTTTTCCTAAATAAGCTTTCCCCCAAATTCTTCTGCACCATTCACTCTAACATTTCTCACCCTGGGTTGTGTGTATTACATGTATTCCATGCATCTGTGCTGTCTGCTCCAACTGGTAGCATTTAGATTAAGGAATCAACAAGCTGCATAAGCAATCAAAAACTTCTGTATTTAGAATTGCTACCAGAATCACAGCAACCAAAGTGGCAAGAGAGCGTGGGCTCCTTAGCATCACAATAGCTGTTCTGTCCCTGTTGTTAAAATAGGGCTCAGACTGTCCCCTGGGGTTCCTTCCTGCTTGACCAATTCAGAATGCCAAAAAAAAAGGGGGTCAACTGACCTGACCAGGTCTACATTTCTTTTCTGTTGCTCCAGGATTCTTCTACAGCCAGATGATTCCTTACAGATCCTGGCACCAGTGGAAGCTGATGTGGGTTTCTACACTTGTAATGCCACAAATGCCTTGGGATATGACTCTGTCTCCATTGCCGTCACATTAGCAGGTAATATGAAAATCCCGGTTCAGCTCAATTAAGAAAATGTTAGTGAGTGTGCAAAGCAGGACCAGAGAAACAAAGATAGGTAAGAGCCACACCCTGCCTTCAGGAAGCTCATAGTAAGGAAACTAATGAAATGTAGGTGATATGTGATATGTGGTTGACTGAAGAAAATGCTATGTCTTAAGTGCTATACCATAAGCCAAAGGGTGTACAAGATATTTCGTTCAATTTGACAGGTCTTAGAGTTGGAATGAGTAGAATTTTGATAAGCAGATCCAGAGGAAAGTCCAAAAGAACGGCTTGACGAAGGAGATGCGCATACAAGTAGCACATAGGGAGCGTGAGATGTGACTAGAGATCACTGAAAACCCCTGTCGTTTCTCCTTGTTCTACCTGTTGCCCAGAAGACTTTGAGACCCATGGGTAATTGGAATTCTGTGGTCACAGTTTGGAGCAGGAGTGATCTGACTGATCCTGTTTTATTTCAACCTCTTACTCTAATTCACCTGCCAGCACTTCGCCTTTCTCCATGGAGGTTAGGCAAAAATATCCTGCACACCATGACCTCAGAATGTCTCTGAAGGCTGTGGTCTTGGAATGCTGTACTTTAAGAAAAAAAAACTCTTCTACATAGGCCACATCCTAGCCTTTGAATCCAAGGGAAACCTGGGATACCAGCTGGACTGGAGCCCTCGTTTCTGAGGCCAGCCCACCTGAGTTTACACAGCCGCTCAGCTAGTGGGGGAAAGAACGGAACTGAGATCTCAGAACTCCCAGCTCATTGTTTCCTTCATTTCCTTGCTGACCTACCAAAATCGGGTCCTTTTCCCTCAGATCTGGGCCACGCAGCCTTGTGGCAGTACATTGCATGTGTTTGTATTTATTCTTTTCATTTGCTACTCCCGTCCGATGATTCAGTAGATGCTGGAAAAGCCAACATCACCCCACACTGACCTCATCGGTCCAGGCTGGGATTATGTTGTCACACTGTTCTCCAGTCACACATGCTACTCCCTTGCATATCTGTTTAGCAACAGTGTTTCTGCCCCCATGACCTCAGGCTGATCTGGGAAGGGACCTTTAGTAGGAGGCTTTGTAGGGAAGATGAAAGTCAACAATGAATAAGGCAGGCTAAGGGGCCCTGGGGTGGATTAGAGACTGATATTATTGATGCCTTTGTGTGTGTGAATAGAGCGTTTGCTTTTCTCCTAATGTATTCCAGTCACAGTCTTTATTCCCCTCTTTATGCAGAGTCCAGATGCTCAGCACCAATCTTGTTAAATCTCTTCTGCCTTCCATGCTCTGCCCTGCCATACATGGGCACTACTGACACCCTTCCAGTTGCTGGTTCATAGAGATCTCTCCTATTTGTATTTCTCCAGATATGGTTCAACTCAGTCACAGATTAAATGCCCTTTGTTCACCCGAATTTCATGCAATTAATGGAAACCTGTCTGGAATTAAGCAAGGCAATTGTAACATCAGGCTTGTGTTCAGCTCTTTGAAAAGGGGCTATCGATGGCTGCCAACAGGTTCAAAGCCAGGGAGGGGAGACAGAGCAGCCAGTGAGGCACCTGGGGACGGGATGGAGAGGCTGAGCAGTTAAGTAAGATCACAAACACCACACCCAGGGCTTCAGGGACTTTGGCTTTGTGGTTCAGTGCTGGGGTTTGTTAAGGTCTGCCAGCAAAGCTATCAAGCAGGCCCTCTAAAAGTTAAGACTCAAAATGTGTATGTTGTTAAGACTGTATTTCTGTCTTCACCTGGGATTATCCTCTAGCCTTGTGTCAAGGCCAAACACAGTACTAAGTGGCTCACCAGCTACTGTTCTGAACACAACCTCTGCTAAGTATTGTGACATGTAGCAATCAATATGACCTATGTTTTGTGCTTCATGATGCTCACAGACTAGCACAGGCAATAGATTTGTACAGAGCTACAAGCGATTGTCACTTTTTTTTTTTTCCCAAATATAAGCATCAAGATAGTGTAGTGGCATACAGGATACAACCTAAGTTGGGGGTAATGGATGTCCAGCATTTCTAAATTGGGTTACCAATTATACTGCCGATTTTATATGGGGTGTTGGACAAACACCCTGAGTCTTTATCCTCTTCTGTAAAAAAGAAATTAATATTTTACAAGATTGCTGTGATATTTAATAAGATTACACATTAAAAAAAAAATACTAGCCCGATGCCAGGTCCATAGTTCATACTCGATTCACACTCCCAGTTTTTCCAAAATGAAACCCATCCTGAAAATCACTCTAAAATTCTAAGTATTAGTGCAACTTTGCTTTCATATATCTTTTTAAAGATTTATTTATTTGTGCATACAGAACTGGTGTACAGGCCAGAGGTGCAGGGGTAGTGAGAGGATTCACCAGACAGAGTGGGAGCAGGACAGGTTGACTGACAAAGTACACTGCTGAGGGGAACAGCGGGCTGGTCAGGAGAGGTCTGCTGCGCCATGCGGATCACCTCCGGGGCAGGCGGGTTTCAAACTCTTGCTAAAGTGGTTTTAGCTTCTTAATGCTGTGCTTTATCCCACTGTGCCACCAGGGAGGGCTGTATATATATTTTTAATATGTCTTCACTTGTAAAATTTTTAAAGTATGAATTTAGTTGCTGATTCACTTGCAGTGAAATCTTCCCAGTAAATCTCAGTGCTTCTGTCCTTTCAAAGACATTGCAAAGCTTATACCTTGACTTCAGCATGAATGTAAACCAAGAAGGGAAAGGAATTTTTTGAGGCTCCAGATAATCCACCGCCCCCATGAATTTATAAGGAAGGTGTAGACTTTGATCTTGCCTAGTCCCCTGAGTTGATCACATACGGAAATTTGTCCATAATATTATTCATGAAAACAGATATGATAGTCTGCCGAGGGCTCTGGTGCCTCATGGTCTGGATTTGAATCCTGCTTGCCACTTCTTAGCTATGTACTCTCCTCTGGACTCAATGTCTTCATTTATAAAAGAGTGATAATAGTAGTTCTTGACTTACAGGGTTTATTGCGATTAAATGCATTCACTCATGTAAAACTTCTGTAATTGTGCCTCACTTATAACAAGCATTCAATATTTATTAGCTATTGCTATTATTTATGAGGATAATATATAAAACAAAAATCACATTAATTTTACATTAGGAGTGATTCCTTTACAGATTTCAGAATGCTCACACATACTTTGCACAGCTCTTCTCTCTCCATATCTCAAACTCAACATGAAAGTTGAATCATTTATCTGGAAAGTGGTTGCAGCATCTGGATTCAGTGCAAGGGCGGTCACTTGTAATGAGGGACACATCACATGGGCCACCAGAGAAAAGATCTGGCCCAGAGCTTAACCTCTACCAGTGAGCTGCCCTAATTTCTGGGTTCAGTATGTCTCCAATACTGGCTCTCAGATTCATTTTAGGTCCAATTCTCCTCTCTGCAATTAGTTTTAAACATGTGTGTACCCTCTCATTTTAGACATACTAATACATAAGCTTCCCTTGCTCTGTTCTCTTTTCAGCCATAAAAGATTATATTTAGCACCTTTTGCATCTCCCCAAACTCATCCTTTATGCATTGATTCTGTCTCTCACATCCTAACAACCTAAGAGTGTGCCTTACAGCAGCTCTCACCACGGAGATGGCCATTGTTTCCCTGTCTGCCTCCCTCATTCAGCCCTGGTCAGAGCCATGAAGACTCAGTGGCACAAAATGCCCTTGCTTCAAATTGCAAGTAAATTTTTTTCATTGCTCAGAGTACAGATGAGAGTACTAGTAGAGAGGAAGGAAATGAGGGCCAGGAATGTGACCAGATGTCACATACGTAACATTTTGAAGTACTTATAACTTGGTGTTCAGGAGTAAGCAGGCTGGGTGAGGAGAGTTTCTGGTGTGCACAGAGTGACACACTATCGGGGCCCGTTAGCACTCAGCCACACCACTCGGTAATCCTCCAAATCTAACTAGTATAGGCAGCATTTTGAAGGAAAACAGTCGTTTCCTAGAAAATTGCTCCAGTCTGGATCAGTGGGGTTTAGCTTTACTTACCAATGTAGATGAGGCCTGTCCAGGTGTGGACCATTGATGAGGTCATAGCCATAAGGGAAACGTTTTTGGTTGTCATTGATTTTATAAGATCACAAAAGAGATACTGTAAGGGCTGCCTGACATCATCAATGGAAAATGAGAAGATGAGGGCTGAGGGATGAGCATATCTTTCATTGAAAGGAGAAAACACATATGAGCTCATTTGAAGTTTTCACAGGAAGGGAGAGACAGAAAATATTTCTTCTTTCCTGGCATGTTTTTCTGCTTTTTTATGAGTTGAATAGCTGACACATATTGTGTCTAATAAAGAGATCACAGAAACCTCACTGGGAAAATAAAAATAAAAAGTGGTTGGTTTTTTTTTTTCTTTTAATTCTTCTTTCTCTACCCCCATCATGATTTAGTAGCTGCAATAAAAGACAAGCAGTTTGTAAGCTTTTCATAACATAAGTCAGTTCAAATTGGCATTTCTGAATTTTTCATCTAGCCATTCTTTTAACCAGAAGAGGGAATTGCTTCAAGAGTTAGACTCAGAGAGTGCCTTGTCACAGGTGGGAAATTCTGACAGTGAGAAGTTTGCTCCAGTATAGTAAATCAGAGGGAAAGGTAAATAGACATGCTTGGCTTCACTCTTGATGGTGTTCTGAACAGTGTGTAGTGGACATTGAATCAGACTGAGTACCTCATTGTCCAGTAGGACACTGAGTAATATAACCAAGACCTCAAAGTACACGTGTGCAGCATGCCTATTGAAGACCACTCACATTTACAGAACTTAGATAAAACAGGTGAGTATAGAAGAAGAATCTAACTCACTCTGCTGAGCAGTAGACTAAAGAAAACAAACAAGTACAAATGAGCCAAGCTAGCCCAACTCAAACCCTGAAAATCCCTGTCCCACACCTGTGCAATGGAATAATGTGTGGTTGGACAGGGAGTGAGACCCTGCGGT